AATTAGAAATTTAACTTTTCATTTTTCAGACAGTCAATTGTATATTTTATGTTTTGGTACAACGTTGACAAGTATTGTAATTCTTCTAAATTATTTTCAACGAAAAAAAAGAAAAAAACGAGTATGTTTATTTATTTAATTATTCATTGATTCTCATTATTGATATAGAAAAATGAATATTTAAAATGTAAAACATTATTTGATTTCGAAGAATTAGCTAAGAAATCAATGATGTCACATCGTTTTTATTATTATGACTACAAAGCTGGTCAAGGGCATACATATCAAGCATGTTGACATTATTTTGATAAACAATTAAGAATTATGCCAAGAGTTTTGATGGATGTTAGTGAAATATCATTAAAAACAACTATATTTGGGTGCGAAATTATTGAAATATAAAAAGCTACGATACTCCCATAGAGACAGATTTTACTCATTGAGAAGATTTTTTCTAGTTTTTGCCTCGTCAGTATGGACTCAAAATGCATTTGTCAACATTTATTATAGGTCGATATATGAATCACCAATTCTAATTGCTACATCTGCTTGTCATTGTCTTGCTCATGTTGATGGTGAAGTTGCCACAGCTCGTGCTGCAGCTGAAACTCAATGTATTTTTACTTACAATTCGATGTTTTCAAATATGCCAGAAGAAAAAGTTCTACAAACACTCGGTATATCCTTTTTTTTTCTTTTCTATCTCATTTTCTCTTCAATGTACTTAATTATCTTAGGTCCAAAATTTTTACATATTTATTTAACAACACCTGTAGAAATCTTAGAACATATAGTTCCACAAGCTGATAAAAAAGGATATCGAGCAATTGTTATCACATGTGATCAACCACATGAACGTATTCTAGATTTTATATTACCATTATTTGAAGAAGCATCAAAGAACATTGATCCCGAATTAATGAAGAATATGTCAATACCAAATTTGAATATACCTGGCAGAATTGTTAAACAACGTTTTGGTACTGGTTCAGTAACATGGGCAAATATCGAATGGTTAAGGAAATTGACACAATTACCAATTATTTGCAAAGGTATACTCTCACCAATTGATGCAGAATTAGCAATTAAATATGGAGCAAATGGAATTATTGTCAGGTCTGCTTTGTATATAATCAGTTAACTGAATATATCTTTTGCTACTATTCGTTTTAGTAACCATGGTAGTCGACTAATTGATACAGCACCACCAGCTATTGAATGTCTAGAAGATGTCGTCAATGCTGTTGATGGACATGCAGAAGGTAAGTTTGTTTTAATGACAACTGAAAAAACTCTAACTGATTTTTAAACTGTCTTCTTAAGATATCAAATCTTAGGCAGAATAAAGTTTTTTAAAACGTCTCGACATAGTTAAGATCAGAAAAGTTATCTATCTGCTTCCTTTTTAAAAAGCCGTTGATTTGGTTAAACTCTCTATATTGTTAGAGTAGTTCAAGCTTGCTAAATCTTCTAATTTGACCAGAACACTTCTGATCGAAAATCTCCTCATTTCAGGAGTTGATTTTTGTTTTTTTTAATATTTGGCTGTTAGCAATATTTTGAACTAATAAAAGAATTCAAAGAAAAAGAGAACTATCGCAGTATCTCAAAGATATAACAACCAACAAAAACACATTGCTTTTACATCCTTTTACTCAAACTAAAGTCATTAATTACAATTATATTAACTAATCTTATATAAAATATTTGTTTAAACAGCGATAATAAGAAAATAATATTATATGTGTAATGTTTTGACGTGCAAGGGTAGGATTATTATTGAAGTATCAAACTCATTAGATAAAAATCTTATGACAAAAACTGAATCGCAAATCGATAAACGATGGTATTTCTATTCCATCAAAAAGGATTGCGAAATTAAAATTTACTGCTTTATCATCACCAACAACAAATAAACGATATACCGAACATGCCAAAATAGTTTATTTTACGAATATCTTTGCACAGAAAAATAATAAAATCTTGATCTTTTATTTTTTTTTTTAAAGATACACCATGAGAAGCTCTACAAAACTTGTATTAATAAATCAATACTGACATGTTCGAATGGTTTTTCCCATACGACAAATGTATAATCTACATAATAGAGCTACTTTTCACCATATTGTACGTAATAAAAATGTATGGAAGATTTTTTTGTTTCGCACTAACGATTTGTTCATACAGCTTTTATAGAGCTTTCGGCGATTCATCGTTAAAAAAAGCAAGATGTTATCATTTTCTTTCGCCTAGGCATACGCAAAATAATTTTTAAAAGAATCTTCCAAACATTTTTATTATGCTCGACACGATGGGAAGTAGTACTATCATGTAAGTTGTACATTTTGAGTATGAGAAAAACCATCAGAGCGTGTCAGTAGAGATTGCTGCTTATACAATGTTTGTGAAGTATTTCGTAGCGCCTTTTTTAAAAAAAGATCAAGATTCCATCATTCATCTATGCCGAGATAAGAAATGTTGTAAATATTTTGGCACAGTCGATATAACCCAAATTCAAGGATTTTCACCATCAACTTGATATGTAAAAGAGAAAAGTGTATATAGGAATGAAACTTCGAATTTTTCTTACGAAAATCACCCAACGATTCTTTATTTATTTAGTATTTGTTGATACTGGTATTCGAAGTGGAACTGATGTGTTAAAAGCATTAGCATTAGGTGCACGAGCTGTTTTGATCGGTCGACCAATTTTATATGGATTGGCTTGTGGCGGACAAGATGGTGTTCGAAGAGTATCAGATATATTAAAACATGAATTAGTTTATGATATGGCTTGTTGTGGATTAACATCAATTGATCAAATTAATAAAGATATTCTTTATAAACATTAATAGAAATAAAAGTGAAAGATAGGCATTTGAATTGAGTTTTCTTTAATTTATTCTTTCATTCCTTTTATGACGTTTCCACTTATTAAACGATTATTTGAGTGTGGACGTGAAGAAGAAAATACTCACGCCTAATTACACTCTCACATCCATCTCTTGTTGATTACTCTCTTTATCACTGTCTTGCCTAGAAAATATTTTTAAAAGAACCAAGTTAAAATTGAATCAAATACTATTTTTATTAAAGCATCAAGAAATAGTAAGTTGGGTAATAACCACATGTCTATCTAACATTAGAAAACATATTCGAATCAGAATAGGGATTGTGAACATGATCTGACTTCTAGAAAAATTTCTAATAAATTTTTTTTGCTGTATAATATGATAAAAGATAAAAAACAAATCAAATATGGTTTTTATCATGAGGAATTGAATTATTTGTACTATTGATGCTTGTTATTAAATAATTTCAACACATACTACTTTTACTTGTTTGACAAGAAACGACCTCGATTTAGGTTTATTGATAATGGACGATGTGAAGTTCGCCAACCATTGTACTCATTGTTGATGAGCATTCGTCTATTTTATTTCAATTCATTTTTAAAAGATAAAGAAAATAGCCAAACAAACCTGTAAACTTGCTCGATCGAGGTCATTCGATTTTGCTCAATTTAATATGCGTTGTAGGAGTGGGAGTTTCAAGAATTTTAATGCAAGTCGTTTGAAAAAAATTGTTCTTCCGTTCTTGAGATATTGAAATTTTTTGCAGGATACTATTCTGGCGAGCTTAGGTAAATTTCCTATAGAAAAGGGTTCATTGTTGAAGATTTTTCAATAAGTCTCATAAAATCATTCTTTGAGATCGTACGTCAGTTTTTTTTCATAACTCTGTAGTACTCAGTGGGTACTTTAAATCTACATGAGACTGACTTCTATAAATTTGATTTTGTTCTGGATCGGACTCTCTCAAGATCACAATTTTAATCTAAACTAAGTTTTTGATGAAAGTCTCCTGAATGGCAGGAACTATCTAGAGAGCTGAATTTTTTAGAGAAATGAGAACTCATTATGGTCAAAATTTCAGCTCTCTAGTTTTATCCGTTCGTGAAATATGCACAGGCACAAAATATTTAAAAAATAACAATTTTGTCATGTACTTTGTAGTATTGGTCAATTCATCATACAGTAAAAATCTCAAGTAAAAGACATGTATACTTGATGAGATATAGAAAATCACAAAAAATGCACGTTTTTTTTTGGCGATGGTGATCTGAGAAAAATTTAAATATCTCGAGAATAGGACAATATTTTTTCAAATGATTTGCGTCAAAATTGTAAGAACTCTTGCCTCGACAACATATATAAAATTAAGCAAACTCTGACGACGTCGATTGTGCAGAGTAGGTTGTGACTTATGTAGAATAGATTATATATATTATTGATAAATAAACGTTAGGATATAATATGTCGAATAAAATAATAACGGAGAATAAAGAAAATTGTTTTTAGTGAATAGTAATGTAAAAAGAGAAAAGAAAGATAATAAAGAACATATATTGGAATATATTATTGTTAAGACGGATTATTGTTCAATGAAGATAAATTCTTATTCAAAACAGCGATTTATTTTGTTTTTGTTTTTGTCAAATTCCATTGAAAATTTGATAATTAAATAATTGATCATATAAATATGTTTTGAAAAATGTTCTTTAGTTAATAATCAATAAAAATGTTCATTTTTTAATTTGTGCCACATATCAATTGATCGATTTGACCATTTTATCATTAAGAACCAATGTTTCAAATAATCTCCACTTTCTGATTGATCTATTCGAAATCCACCTAGTATTCGAGAAATCTTATTTAGTTATTTATTTTAAAATAAATAAATAAATTGATATTCAATTCTTATCTCTTAACTTTTCAAAACAAAAGTATTATTTAATTGTTGAATTAAACTATCACTAATCAAATTTAATAAAATAAGACATTTAATAAGCAATGATTTACTCTAGTAAAAATGATTTATTTCTAATAAATAAACTTCAATATTAGAGTTCAAATTCTCATATTTGAGATCTAATTTGTTTCTATATTGAAGACAAGAAAACAAAGAAGTCGAGAGAATTATTAATAAATAGATAAAATCTAGTTACCAATAAAATTGTCTTTTTTTCCAAAACCTTTATCATAAACAGTTATTTGTAATGTTTTTGTAATTAACTTTTTTAATTGAATATTTTTATAAATAAATTCTTGATTAAATTGTGGATTCAAAGTTTGTTTTTTAATATCTGTTTTAAAATTTAATTTGTTCGATAAATGATCAAATGAAAATAAACATAATTGACAATAAGGATTTGATTTACGATCAATATCAATTGGTAATAAATAACAAGCACGTTTTATTTTAACATGAAAATTTGATGTTTCATTTGAATACATAAGACTAATTAAAATTTTACCACGTTCATTTATATCTTCATCATTTTCACACTAAAACAATTTTATTTCAATTTTTCAATATTTAATCGAACATATCTCAAAAAAAAAACATTTAAATACTTTTTATTTTAACGAAATTTATTTCAATTATACTAATAAATTTTTACAATAACAAACCAATGCTATTTATCCAACATATGTTTCATTATATCTCCTATCCATTTCAAAATAGAAGGCGAGTCGAATAACTCGCGAACGGGAGCAACTATGGAGCTGCGATTTTCACCATTAAGAAGATATTTTGAAGATAACTTTTGGAACGCTTTTTTCGTTGGATTTTGATTGGTAGCTATAAGCATTTACCTGAGATCTTCGAAATCGACCAAGTGACGCGGAATCACCCTTAAAAGCATTACATTATAAGTAATCAACCACGCTGAATTCAGTGGTGATGTTTGTTTTTTATTTCAAAGTACTCTGAGATCATTATACAAAAGTTTTCGTAAATCTAGTTTTCGCTGCTATTTGATTTAAAGAACACGTATATTGGAAATCTCGATACAGTGATCTCAGAGTACTTTGAAACAAAAAACAAACATCACCATTGAATTCAGCGTGGTCATATTACCTATAATGTAACGCTTTTAAGTGTGATTCCACGTCACTTGACCGATTTCGGAGATCTCAGGAAAATGCTTATAGCTACCGAACAGAGCAAGCTATCGAGCTTGGCCTTGTGTAGATCGAAAGAGAACAATTTTTTCTATTGAATGATTCAATTCAAGTTCAAAATCCAACGAAAAAAGCGTTCCAAAAGCTATCTTCAAAATGTTCAGCAGACTTTTATCCTACTGGTGCATTACTGATCAATGAAATTTTTCCATAGCTTCTTCCGTTCCCGAGTTATTCGACTCGTAATCACTCGCTTTCGATTTTGAAATGGATAGCAGTTAATCACAAAACGAATTAAAACAATAAATAAATATTATATATATATAATAAATACTTACATCAGTTTTATTTTGTAAATAAACCGAATAAATCTGATATTGATCAGATTGAATTGTTGATAATTTAAAACGATATTCACCATGAAAGTGATTAACAGATGAATCTTTATCATAGACCGAGAATCTTTTTTTTTGGTTTTTTTAAATTAAAAAACAAAGTTATTAGTTTTGTTTCAATAAATATTATCTTACTTAACTGATTTATAATTGATATCATCTAATGATATACCATCATAAACAAGTGTATCATCGATCATACCACTTTCTAATTCAGTTGACTAATCATATTTAATAATGTATTTATCATCGAAAACAAATTTATCTTTATCCATTCATATATTTAATTGGAACATAAATTATTCATTTAGATATTTTAATGGAAAATTTCATTTATTGACATATTAAAAGAAACATTTTTATTTTATTTAGTTTTTCTAAAAATCTTTTTCGATATCAGTTTATTTAGATAAATTCGTCTCGAGAAACGATAACATAAATAAGTGAGATTGATATACTATATTGATAAAAACGCTATCAAATCGAAGTGAATATGTTTTTTTTAAGAAAATTCTTTCTGATAAATCTTCTTTAAAATGATATGCAATTAAAAAGTAAAAAATAAAATGAAGTTAAATTTACTTTGTGAATAGCTGGTAGAAGATTTAATTTAAGATAAATATGAGAATATTGATTTTGATTATTTGATCGAAGTTTGTCTAATCGTAATAATCTTATTATTAATTTATATTCAGATTTTTTCCAAACAATTTCAAAATCTAATCTTCCAAGTCCTTCAAATCAAATAAATATATTTATTAAAATAAATATGAAAAAAAAGAAAATCCTAACCACAATCTTCATTTATTGGTGATAATCTTATATAAGAATTTTTTGATGATCTAACTAATTCACATTTTGATAAATATGCATCAATTGAATCTTCTTAAAAAACAAAGATTTCTATTTTAACAAAAAAAAAGACGAATGACTGAAATAAATGTCTATCTACTTGTTGAAGTTAATTTACTATTTTTAAATGAATAAATTCTTTTATCAGCATCGTCACATTTATTTATTTCATCTTGATTATCATTTAATTGTTTAAATTGATTTAAATTTTTATTATTTGATACCACTAAATTAAAGCAAAATACTTTTCTTTTTTTTTTTAAATAAAACTATTTCGAGACAAACATTTTTTATTAAATCGATCTGTAATCGAATCATTATCTGAACTTGATTGATCAGATATCGATTGAGCATCACCTATAGACAATCGTATATATATACATACCCTATATAAATAGTTGTTAACTAACTTGTTTTGATATATTGTGATGATTGAAATGATAAAGAGGAATTAATATCAAAGGTAGCATTCGAAGGTTTAGGTAAAGAATGAAAAAACCATGCAGCTGATTTTTTCCATAACTAGAATAGAATAAAATAATTGATTATTAATTATTTAGCTAAGATAAAAAGTATTAACTTGGCGATTTTCACTACAAATATTACATAATGATACAATATTTTGATTAAAATTTGTTTGAATTGAACAATTATCACATACTAACTAATAATAAATAAAATTTATTTTAAAATATATATATTTTTTTTTTCTATATTCACATTACTTTTTGACAATTAGAACATGAAAAAAATGATCGAGATAATATTCCTCTTTTATTAGAACATAACAAACATTGAGATAAACCATTACCAGTTGCATTTTATTTTATTTTATCAAGACGATCAATTAATTTACTTATTATTTAAAAAAAAGAAAATAATAATAATAATAATAAAAGAAAAACAAAAATTCTACCGAATACGTTCTTGTTCGATATATTGAATATATTGATTACGTTTAAGAACATTTTCAATATGTTCGATTTCTTGATTAGTTAATGATTTTTGATTAAGATTATTTGATATGTTAGAATTCAATTGACGATTTAATGATAGAATATTAGTATAATATGACCAACCGAGATTTATTCTAATAAATTTATTTTATATTAAAATAATAATTCGAATAAATAAATATATACTTTGATCGAAGTTCTAATCGACGATCATTTGGACATACAAATCGATCATTAATCATCTTTTTTCTGTTATTATAATTAACATATTATTTAGATTTAAAATATCTAAAAGAATAAATAATAAAAATGAAATGAAATCATCAAAAAAATATAAAATGATTTATTTCTATGAAAAAGATAACCTATTGATCATAAACATCTATTAAATATATATAGGTTGATCGAAATGATTTATTCGAATCAGAATAACAAAAAACAAAGTTCGATAGATTTAATCAATTGAAAATAATATTCTTTTTAGAAATATTTTTCTTTTCTAAACATTTATATTTGCTTTGATATATACGTATACATATTTACTTTAAGAAATATCTTCAAGTAAAATAGTCGATATTTTTTTTTCATTCATATAAAACATATGTTCGAGAAAAAAAGCTAGTTATTGACATTATCGGTTAATAAGCGAGTCAAAGATTGAAAGTAAATGGTACCCATTTACTATTTATCGTATATGAATCATTTCGATCTGTAACAATTATTTATGAATTTATATTTATACATTATTGAGTATAATCGTTAGTAAGAGATTTATTGTCTTGAGATTAATTCGACAATCAATTAATATATTAAATAACATATTCATATATAAAAATTTGATTAGACTTCATTATTAAATCATCTTATCTTTTTTCTTTTGTCTTTTTTTCATATTAATAGAAAATAAATCGATCAGTTTGTTTAATAAATCTATTATAAATAAAATAGTTCTCAACGAATGATGATATTTATAATTGTCAATCAAAAAAAAACAACAAGTTAAGACAAAAAAATATCAATAATAAAGCATTTTATTTAAATAAAATTCAAATCTAGGAATCAAAAATTAGAAAGAAAAACATCTTTCACTATTTAAAATATCTAATGGATTAGTTGACAGATACATAGATATTAATTGATTGAAATTAAATTAACTATATTTTGTTCGAAAACAGTCACTTCGAATGGCGAATATCTAAAATATCGATAAGTTGTAATCAAGTCAGAAAGCATAGAATTATTAGTAGAGATAACGAACTCATCACTATCTGGGCATTCGACTGAACAATTATCTATCAGGGTTGTGTTTTCTGAAACTCTGCATCTATACCAATTTGATATAAATTGAAACGATAAAGTGTATCTAAAAATTTCAAGTCGGTCAAAAAACTTATGGACACCAATTTTTAAGCGAGATTCAGTTCTTTAGCGGCGAAACCTAAAGAAACGAGGACTCTGACATTCCTAAACTCCATATGCATTGTTTTCAATATGAAATGAATTTTTGTGTTGACTATCATTCATATATATTAAGAGTTTCTAATTCTTTCTTCATCAAATAAAAGTGAAACAATTCGGTATTAACATTGAAAGAATTTTTTTTCATGCCTATATGGTAGTATTGAATAAAACATTCCACAACTTTAATTCGCCTACTGTATCATCTACATACTTAAAGTCTCATAGTCATTTTCTCCAAAACGAAGACATAAATTATGTCTAATTAGATCTTTCTTTATACGCTGCTCATTTTTATACTTAACACAATAACGAGAGGCATAGAGTAAATTATCAATTTTTTCTAAAGTTAGACTTGTCCAAGAAGTTTCGTACTGGTACTGTCAGGTAGAGAATTATATGCAGATTTTATTGATATATTCTCTTTTAAACAAATATATATATACATCGTTCATTTTGCAACATTAAAAGTCTTCGCTGCAGCAAAATATCATTTATTCAGAATTCGACTGGAATAAAACGTTAGTTTTACCTGCTCAGCAATTTTATATATGTTACTCAAGTGTGTCAAGAAAAAGTGAAAAATATTCTTAATTATCTAATTTTGATGTGTTTTCATGTAAACAAAAATGTTTTAAGTTTCTTATTTGCTTAGAAATGGTATCTGATCATATAAAGAAATACATTTTCTAGACCTTCAAATTCTGAATCTATTTACACAAAAGGGATCGTTTTTGTGAGGTCAAGTTGTGAGAAAATAACTTAAGAAATGTAACAACACACAATAAGACATACAACAATAATCTATATATCTCACTAGAAGAACGAAAGGGTGTGGGTGTGGTGTATGAGCTTACACCTTATAATCGACATTATCATAATCAAGCAAAAGAATGCATCGTAGCCTATTGTTTTTCTGCTATCAATTTATTCGAATGTTAGACATCGTCAATTTCGGAGTTCCACTGACGAGCCTGCTTATAATGTTTTCTAGTAAGCCTTTCGAGTGTCACACAATGAGCACGAGTTCTAAAAATAAATCAAGAATCAGAGGAGACAGAATCTGTTACATCAACAGTCCCATCATCATACAAAGTGATCTTCATATTCGGTCGAAAGCCACAATTCTCATGTACATATCCAAGTTGATTGCTCACTAATCTTGTAGTATTGACAGTCAAATCGGTTGATAGATGTGTATGTCCATACAACCACAAACGAATAGGATCCACACAGTCTGCATCATGATCGTTAGTAAACGCATCCATTAAACCAGACTCTTCATCTTCTTTTGTACAAGTGTTGCGACGCGAAGGCGGATGATGAGTAATAATCACTACATGTTCTCGATTCTCGCGCGCTTTTTGGATCTCTTGCAATAGCCAGGCATGTTGTTGAGCATGCCGTTCATTTGTGTCATCCACTGTGATTCGACGTCGAATTTTGCTTATGTTGTTTCCTACTTTCTTTTCGACCATGATCGAAATTAAATGGTAATCATTGAGACATTGACCAATTATTGGAGCATTTTCTTGACGAACGTGAGACCAGAGTGTAGTGCCGAGAATACGCACACTATTTGGAAGAAGATAACTTTTATTGTGTAAGAAGTGAATGCGTGGATTGAGATTGTCAAGTTCTTGAAGCTGTTGAAGACGATCTTCATATTCTCCTTCGTAGAAACAATGATTTCCAGCTACATAAAAAATATGTTCAAATCTTTGGCATTGAGCAAGTAGAAATATTTTTAGAGATGGTATATCTGGTCTTCCGATGTCTCCGGCGAGTATCAAGATTGGTGCTACAGGTGAAAACTTGGGAAGGATTACATTGTTGAATTCCAAATGCAGGTCACTCATGAGCATTGTTTGAAAGATCGGTTTGGTTTCGGATCTGAAGGTTTTGCTAGTTGTTTCGTTAGCCATCGTCAATTCGTTTTGGTTTTGAAGAGTTGAAGTTCTACAGAGAGACGAAGCAGAAATTATAGTGACTTTTACCCACTTCTATATGGTTTTATTTTAAACCAAAAATGTTGAATGTGTTATAAATATCAATTGATATGCAAAAATTTCTCGTAAAATTACTCAATTTAAATCACAGAAGCCGTGCACTCCTTCGGGGTGTATATGTGACTCAATTTACTTGGAAAATGAATGCTAACGTGCATAAAAAGTCGGAAGAGAACGAAGAGAAAAAGGTAAATCGGAGCTACCACAACGATGAATATAAATATATAGTCATGTGCGCAAATAGAAGAATGAATCACAGATTTCAAACGATTACCAACTTATAATCGATTAAAAAACGTTTTTCTCTGATAAATCTAATTTAAAAAAATCAGATTTTAGTCACTTAAGACATTTTGCAATCGATTTTAGAGTGAAGGTGTGCGTAGTTGTCTCTTCTTCACCAACACCTTCTATCTTTCTTTTTTTCATGAATATTAACAGTTCTCATATGATGTGAATTATGCTTGTTTTTTAGTATAGTATATATAGCAATAAAACATACAATACAAAAATACTGGAAAAACAAAGTCAAATACTGTTAGATCTTGTTGTCCAATTGTTAATTCTAATTTAATCAAGTTTTTATCAAATAAATACCTGTAATTGAATCGCTCTCACAAATATACATGTGTACGTTCCATTTCGTACTGTTTATTCTTATTGATTGAAATGTTGTCATTATCATGAATACTAAGGTTTTTTTTTAGTAGAATTACTAAACCATGTTGGAGATTGTTATTACTGTACTAAGAAATAAATCTCGATCATTAGTAAGAATTTCGAGCTTACGAACATTTTCAGACTATGAAAAATTTTGTCATTATTAGATAATTTCGTTTTTAAATTTCACTCTTGATGAAAAATTTGCTCAAGTGAATGATCATTGATTAATTAATAACGAAACAAACTAATGATATTTATACAGAAAAAAAAAATCTTCTTTTAACTCAGACATATGCTCACATAATTTGGTCTTAATATAATGAACTTTTAATATTTCTTAATAGTATATCAAAATAATGACGACAAATTCGTTCATGTTCAACATCACCTGAACATATTTTGAATACGAAAAAGCAAAATATAATTAACTATGTTTTATGATTTTTCAAATAATGAAATACAATTTCGAGAAATTCTTAATTAACATAGTTTATGTTTATTAATAGTAATATGAAATAATTAAGAAGAAAGTGAAGATATTTAACGTAATTTAAATTTATTAGAACATGAATAAGATCGTGTAGAAGCAAATTTAAACATATATCAAAACCAATTAGAACCAGGTATGTAGAACAATTTAACAATGTGAATATGATATGGATGAAAATGATAAAAGAAATATTATTGAAAAACAATTAATTTATATTGATTCAAAAAGGATACACTTAAATGAAAAAATTCAAGAATAGTGGTTTTTTTTCCGAATTCATGATTACTGAGTGAATATTGATAAAGGAAACTTTCTCTTGCATACATTTCTTTATAGTAATAAGTAAATGTCAAACGAAAATTGACTTGAATTTCGATCTTTATTAAGAATAATATTTATTTAGAATAACAAAAAATGTTTATCAATCTTTTTTCTTAAATATAAATCGATTATTTTCTATTGAAAGAATTGTTTTATTCATATTCAGAAATTTATTCTTGAAAATTCTTTATTTATTCTTCATTCATTAATATACTCAGATTTATTCTTTGAAAAAAGTATATGAAGAAATTTTTAAAAATTTTGAGTTTAAGCTTTTTAGATAGAATTATCGCAAGAATAT